ACCACCTTTAAGCACCAACCCTTCGGGAGATCTTTTTCAACTCAAACAAACGGGGACAGTGGAGGAATATATTAGTTTGTTTCAGAAACTGTTGGCACGTGTAGATGGATTACCCAGTCAATTTGAAGTCAACGCATTCATGGCAGGGCTTCGTCAGGAAATCCGTTTAGAACTGGAGTTTCAGGCTCCAGGAAGCTTGGACGTTGCCATGAATCTGGCCAGGCAGATTGAGCGCAAACAACAATCTGTGGCACTACTCCCAGTCACACGACCTCAACCAAGACAATCCCCTATGCCTATAGCATCACAAACCAGTCTGTTTGCTTCAAATCCAAAGCAGACCATTGAGGACTCACAGCAGCCTCCCACTTGGCGTCGTCGGATTTCAAGAGCGGAGGCAGCCAGTCGCCAAGCCAAAAGTCTTTGCTATCATTGTGATGAACGTTATGTTCGCGGTCATCGTTGCAAGCAGCTTTTTGCCTTGGAAATCTGGGATGACGAAGGCGATGAAACAATCGATTCTGACTTTGCCTTGTCCCTCAATGCCATGTCAGGTTCCTGCTCACCCACAACAATGCAAATTACAGCTTCCTTGCGAGGTAAACCAGTTCTGATTCTAGTCGACTCTGGGAGCACGCATAATTTTGTGCATGCACGATTGGCTCAAGGACTCGAGTATAGTTCACCCACAGACAATTCTTTATTTGTGGTGGTGGCAAATGGCGAAAAGGTCCCTATTTTGGGTAGCTGTCCTCAGTTAACTTTTGAGGTTTTGGGAGTTCCCTTCCATGCTGATTTTTATGTTCTTCCCATGGCTGGTTTTGATATGATTTTGGGGGTCCAGTGATTACGAGACTTAGGCGCGATCGTATGGAATTTTCACAATCTGTCTATGCAATTTCATTGGATGGGTGCAACCGTCATATGGCAGGGCAAACCAACGCCATACTGCAAACCAGCAAACATGGCACTTCCCACTTCACATGAGCATTCACCCCTAGAAGGTATTCTCTGCAACTTCCAGGATTTATTCCAGGAACCGCGCGGTCTGCCACCTCCACGGCCATGCGATCATCGCATAACTTTAGTTCCTGGTTGTGGCCCGGTTGTGGTACGCCCCTACCGTTATCCATACTTCCAAAAGGATGAGATTGAGCGACAATGTGCTGCAATGTTAGAACAAGGGATCATTCAACCTAGTCATTCGTCATTCTCTTCTCCAGTGCTCTTGGTTAAGAAGCATGATGACTCGTGGCGTTTCTGTGTCGACTACAGAGAGTTGAACAGTAAAACAGTGAAGGATAAATACCCAATTCCGGTGATCGATGAATTGTTGGATGAGCTCCATGGGGCAAAAGTTTTTACGAAGTTGGATCTCCGGTCTGGCTACCACCAGATTCGAATGGCCCAGGAGGACATTCCCAAAACAGCTTTCCGCACACACCATGGTCATTTTGAATTCTTGGTCATGCCCTTTGGCCTCACTAATGCCCCATCCACCTTCCAATGCCTAATGAATGACATCTTTGGCCCTTATCTCCGGAAGTTTGTTCTGGTCATCTTCGACGATATCTTAATCTATAGTAAGAGCTGGGTGGAGCATATCCATCATGTCCGCTTAGTTTTTGATATCCTCCGAGCACATGGGCTATTTCTTAAACGCTCCAAATGCTATTTTGGAACTGATAGTGTGCAGTATTTGGGTCACATCATTCACGAAAAAGGCGTCAAGGTTGACCAGGAGAAAGTTAAAGCCATCCAAGAGTGGCCTCTGCCAGGGACACTAACGGCCTTGCGTGGGTTTCTAGGCCTGGCTGGCTACTACCGTAAATTTATCAAAAATTATGGGGAGGTTGCCTTGCCACTCACGCAACTCTTAAAGAAACATTCATTCCATTGGAATGAGGAGGCCACTGTTGCCTTTAACCAACTTAAACATTGCTTGGCCACAGCTCCTGTACTTCAACTGCCCAACTTTTCAATTCCATTTGTCATTGAATGTGATGCCTCAGGGAGTGGCTTTGGGGCAGTTTTGCAACAAGAGGGTCATCCTGTCGCGTATTTCAGCCGCAAAATAGCAGATCGTCATATCAAATTAGCCGCATACGAGCGGGAATTGATCGGGTTGGCCAAGGCAGTAACCCATTGGCGACCGTACCTCTGGGGGCAAGAATTTTTAATTTGTACCGATCATTCTAGCTTGAAACACTTACTGGAGCAACGCTTAACGACTTCTCCCCAACAACATTGGCTCAGTAAGTTGATGGGGTATAATTTCCGGGTAGAATACAAACCTGGTCGGTACAACACGGTTGCCGATGCCTTATCTCGCCGTGATGAGTCTCAGCCTCACCTAGCAGCGTTGTCCATTCCTTATACAACTTTGCTTGAGGATATCCGTAAGGAACAAGCTTCCTCGTCCGAAATTGGAGCTCTTCGACGCCAGCTTGACGAAGGTGCCTTGGGAACCGAGTGGGCATATCGAGAGGGGTTGCTGTTTTTCCAACATAAAGTGTACTTACTGCCATCTTTTGCTGCAACTCCAACTATAGTCAATTTGTTCCACTCCATGGCCCATGAAGGCAGTGCTAAGACATTACAGAGGGTGCGTCGCGAATTTTATTGGCCTGGCATGAAAAAGACTATCACTGACCATGTGCGGGATTGCCAAGTGTGTCAACAACACAAATGGCTGAACCTCCAGCCTGCAGGTTTGTTGCAGCCCCTGCCCATTCCTCATCACATTTGGGCAGATATCTCCATGGACTTCATCGAGGGATTGCCCAAGGTTCGGGGAAAATCAGTTGTTTTTGTGGTTGTTGATCGGTTATCTAAGGCTGCTCATTTCATTGCACTAGCACATCCATTTACGGCTGTTTCAGTGGCAGCAGTCTTCTTCTCTGAAATTTTTCGCCTCCATGGCCTGCCGGAATCAATTGTCTCTGACCGCGATAAAGTGTTTGTGAGCTCCTTTTGGCGTGAGTTATTCCGTCTTTGTGGATCCCAACTTCGATTTTCTTCAGCCTACCACCCTCAAACAGATGGTCAAACTGAGGTGGTGAATCGCACCTTGGAAATGTTCCTCCGTTGTACTACCGGCGACTGTCCACGAGATTGGGTTCGTTGGCTTCCATGGGCGGAGTATTGCTACAACACATCTTTCCATACATCTTTAGGTGATACTCCTTTCAGGTTAGTGTATGGTCGTGACCCGCCCAAGCTACTTTCTTACACACCTGGCACTGCCAAGCTCGACGCAGTGGACCAAGCGCTCATTGACCGCGACTCCATCCTCACCATAGCCAAGACCAGATTGCTCCAAGCTCAACAACGTATGAAACTCCAATACGATAAGGGCCATCGGGATTTGTCATTCACCCCAGGTGATTGGGTTTGGCTCAGAATTCATCCACATCGCCAATTGTCACTCATCAGGCATACTCACAAGCTTTCACCCAAGTTTTTTGGGCCCTTTCAGATAAAGGAAGCTATTGGGCAAGCTGCCTATCGCCTGATACTTCCTCCATCAAGCAAAATTCATGACGTCTTTCATGTCTCTTTACTCAAGCCACACAGAGGAGACACACCTTTGACGATGGGAACCTTACCAGAACTGAACAGCCTGCCACCCCCACTCCAACCTCTGTCCATTTTGAAGGCTCGTCCATATCAGGGTAGCTGGGAACTACTTGTCCACTGGGCAGGACAGCTTTTGGAAGAGGCTACATGGGAAACATTGGATTCCTTCTGTGAGAATTTTCCTGATTTCGATCTTGAGGACAAGCTCGTTGTCAACGGAGGGAGTGATGATATGGGTCGATTTGGCAGAGTCTACCAGAGGCGGTCAAAGAAGGGACCAGCTTGAGTGGTCCTCATTATTTTAATTAATTAAATCAGTTTCCTACTTTGAGTCTATTTTAATTAATTAAATCAGTTTCCTACTTTGAGTTTATTTATTCAGGTTTCCTTATACTAGTTTAGGAGCTTCTGTATTACTTCTTTCCTATTATTGTTTTAGGAAACTTGTCTTTAGCCTATTTAAGGCTTATCAGTTGGATTAATGAGATTAGCTTTGGAATATTAATTTTATTTGGCGTACGGTGGAACCTGCGACAAACTCCTTGCCGAGGGCGGGAGTCGATTAATATTTCAGGCACCATAGATTCATATTTTTCTTGTTCTTCTCAGAAGCATCGACTTTGGACTAGATCTTGTACCAAGGCCCTTAACAGATGTCTACCCGCTGCAAAATGTAGCGGTTTGTAGTTCAAATGAATTAGCGGATTGGGCAAAACGCTATTTACCAAACGGAGTCTTAGTGACCTAAAGAAAAAGCAGTTAACCACAAAACATAAAATCGTGTGAATATTTTTTTGTAGGATGATTAAGGTACTGATTTAAGAAAATAAGGAGGCATATTGAAAAGAAAGGGGATGAAAATTTGGGGGAAATATAAAGGACAGACTGGCTCAAAAAATTAATGCTTTTTCAGCTTCATTTACTAATTTATGTCTATTATGTAAATTTATTAAAGTCTAATAAATTTAAATATATGTAACCAAATTTGTGATTAACACTTGTCACATTTCATTTTTCATATTTCAAGGTAAAACTAATCAGAAGAGAAAAGTAACTTTCTATGAAACATTTCCTTTCCCTAGCATTTTCCTCGATCCAAACATACCTAAATGTGTTTAGAGAGGAGCAGAGAACTAGAATTTAAAATTGAAACCAGATTAATTGTCTAAAGGATCTTGATTTCTCTTGCTATTAATTCATTTTGTTATCAAACTATCCAATTTTTTACAACCTATAATGTTTATGGTATAATCCACTTCATATTGCTTAAAACATCACCCTAATATTTCATAAGAATATGCAATGTGACCTGCCTTGAATTAACATGAAGAAGAAATTATGGAAGCATTTACAAGTTTACTCTCAGGACATACATATACTAAGACAATAAAAAAAACCTTGGGACGTAAAGGTATGCATACCGTCATAATACACGAATAAGGATGTTTGCCTCTTGCATTGTGGCACTCATCAAATATCAGAAGCTTTATCATGTCAATTTTCAGAAAGCTGTGCCTTAAAGCAGCAAGCAATATTGCTGGTGTCATGATAAGCACCTAAAACATGAGCACACACACCCAAGATTAGGAAATATGTTCCTTCAGTTGCAAATAACTCTCCCCTACAAGGTCAGTTAAACTAAACAGTGTCATATTTATACTTTGGAAGCAATAGAAATTGAATAAAAACATCAGGGTCCTTTACTGAAAACAGAATTCTCTAAACTTTCTGAAGAAATATATTTAGAACAGAAATAGGAAAGTACATGTTGAACTATTTTCTGAATTAAAAAAATGTAATCTCCTTCTGTTTCCCCTTCCCCAGAATTTGGAAATTATATTTTATGCATTTTCAATTTGAACACGCAGAGCTGCATTATGAGCTCCACACATCAAAAGACATGGAGTTGAAGGTTAGCTGTAATTGTGGTTAGCATGAATTAGGAGTTAGCTAAGTCAACATTTTTATGCATACATAACCACATCATGTATTCATTATATTACTTGTATATTTTTTCTTAGAAATAGAAATCTTATTCACTGGTCAAAAGGCCATCAAAGCCCACCATATGTTCCCTTGGTTTTGTGTATCACTGAAACTGAAAATAGTAAAGTGATACAAAGTGTGTGTATTCATGAAGATTCTCAGTGAGTAGGAAAATTCACAGTTGTTATGTGGGTTTAGCAGCTCATCATTAAACAATCATCAATAGCACGAGAATGACATACAGATTTAGGGAGTAACAATTAAAGTAGATTTGGACTGGTATTGAGCACCTCATTTTTCCCCACGTGAAGATTCCATGTGGCTGCATCCCAGTAATCAACTCCCATGTCTCCCCAGAACTTTCCTACCTTCAAGTCTGTATTCTTTTTTATGGCCTCGCCTTGCTAGTAGTGCATTCATAAAAGTCAAACAAGGCATTAAAAATAATTAGCAAAAATGGGTACACATTTCAGAAGTGTGAACAGAAATTTACTGACAAAACCATAGAAATGAACTTTCTTGGCCACTTTATAGGTTCCAATCATATTAACAAGCAGTTAGCACAACTATAGGCCAATATAATGATAGCATTAAACACTAAGCCTCATTCGGGATTCAGTTTGACTTTCAATAACTATTCTTGCTGGAAACCCACATTTCAAAATACCACTTGGGTTGAAAATTGCTGGGCAAAATTCAAAATTCTAAAAAGAAAGTATTTTAAACGTAAAAGTGGGGATTGATTAACCGCAAATGGAGCCTTAAGGCCCATTTGGTAGCACCCATTTCATCCAAATAAGTAAACGTTAATCCTCCCATAAGTGAAATTACCAAACTCAGTTTTAAAAAAGTGAATTTTGTGCTTGCAAAAAAGAAGTGATTTTTGTAATACAAGTTGACACACAGCATTACCTGAGTAACAAGGACCACAGTAGGAACCAAGAAGACGGCAATGTAAGGAGAAGGCTTCCTGAGAAGATGGGCAAAGCTGCGCAAGAGCATGATAGCTATAAGTGTCTTTCCAGAACCAGTCTCCAAGAACACAATCGTGTTCTGCTTGATAGCTTTCTCCAATGCTTCCAACTGATAACTAAACACAAAGCATGACAAAACTTAAAATTAAAGAATCACCAAGAAAATAAAAATGCATGAGCTACTCATACAAGAACCGACAATGATGGTAGGGATGGATACTAACGATCTAGCAAAAGGCAAAGCATCGGGCTTTAGCTCTGCGATTTCAGTGGCGGGAGGCTGGGTGATTGACGTCTCCATTGAATGAATGCCTTCTTTTCTTTGGCTAGCGACAAGGCAAAGGCAGAAAAAGGTGAACTTCTACAGTTCTACTGGTAATAATTTGTGTTCATGACGATATATATGGCCAGCAAAAAAGTGAGAGCATTATATTCAAAACTTGGTATTGCAGAAACTCCATTGGCAGTTCGTGCAACCTTCAATAATAGTTATAGGTAGTATACGAAAAAAGTTGGCTCTGAAATTTTCTGCAGAGAATTAATGGTTTCAAAAATATTATCGGGGGTTTAAAACAGAATATTGAACATCGTTACTGCCTTGTTAATGCGGCCGCACGCGAAAGGATGTTTTTAGTAGAACATTTGAAGGTAAATTCAAAAAAAAAAAACTTTTAGGTCCGAGTTAGAGAGTCCAAAATAAAAAGAGTAAATAGGTTTTGAAATTTTTAAAATTGAACTGTTAGCATTTTTTTCTTTTGAAGTATGACTGTTACTCTCATGATGAAAGTTACTCTCATGATGAAAAAATACTGGTGGGAAAGTTTCCGAAATAGGACTAAAACAGTTTCAAAATTTCAAAATAGGACTCATGTTTTTTATTCCCAAAATAGGACTAATTACTGACATGTTTAGAAAATACTGTCATGTTTGAAGTCTGGTACTGTCATAAATGGCAGTAATTAGTCCTATTTTGTGAATAAAAACATGGCAGTCGTATTTTGGAATTTTCAAACTCTTTTAGTCCTATTTCGGATAATATCTCAAAATACTATCGTGGTTGAAAAATACAATCATTAATGATGGTAAATATTTTCATATTTAATACCTAGTAATGCAACTACTTGGCATTAATCACTACAAGATGATAGTAAATATTTTCATATTACTTTATTTCGGAAAGAAAAATATAGGTATTCTAGAATTCCAAAACTTGTTTAATCCTATTTCTAGACTTTCCTTTAGATCATACCAAAATTAAAGATACTAGACCAGATATGAACACTTGTAATATGTACGTAATACATAACCAAACATTTATGAGATTACAGCAATCTCATTTAAACGAAATCAAAATAAACGAGATTTGAACAAATGAGATTACATTTTTTATCATTAACGTTCAATATTCTTTGTTCAAAAAAATCATTAATGTTCTTTTCGTAACGTTCTTTGGTTGTCTCACTTTTTCAATATATGTGACGTGGAGGGAGTACTGTATACTACTTGTACGTATTTGTTATTATAAAATGATGTTTGTACACAATCTTATACCTATTTTTATACTGAAAATCAAGCACAAGCATCTTAATTCGGCTACAGGACGTAGGCTTCCTTACGAATTCGACCTGTCCCAATTAGGTATCTTATTTAAAAATTCCTTTATCGGCGGATAAACTTTTAACCTATGGATCGTTCGCCAACAATAACACAAGAGAATTCAATATTATTTAACGTAAAATCGATCATTTTAACTTTTAACAAAAAAAAAAGAAATGATGACAATTAGCCGCGGTTAGTGCGTGGTTCGTGCCGCACCGTGTGTGCGCCTTTTTCAGCCCAAAACCATTACAACGACACATATAAAGAATTCGTTTAATTAAGTACACAAAAAAACTTATGAAATGAACAAGTTTGGACGATGGAAACAATATCTATTACATAGATTAGAAAACAAACATCTAAGAATCCTTCTCGCGACATCTATTTATGAACAACCAACAACAAACACCAATAATAATTGTACTATATTTCAATCAGTAGAGAGGTGTTCCGAGAAGATGAAGAAAAAAAGAGTTTACCTTTGGATGAATTTGTAGCAATCGAGCAAGAAGAAGTTCTTAATGTCAAAGGTGAAAAGTTTCAAACCGCGATGTCGACTTTAGTTCTCGATTGGAGCAAGAGAAGAAGATGCATTTCAGATGCTCTGTATAAAAGAAGGATAGAAGGGTCATTTCACTCATATAACAGTAAGATAATAACTTTCAACTGAAAAAATTGGGTTGGACTTGTTTTTGGGCTGAAAATAAGAATCAACCGGAACAACCCATTTAATTGGTGTTTATCATTTTTTTCCATACTTATTAGCCCAGTTTTGGTCCTCCAAACGGCCTCTAAAATTGATAAATATCTTGAGTAACTGTCTTTATTGGTCTCACTTGTTGCATACTTGCACAATTTTGACCGAGAGATATTTAGGAAAACATTTACTATACCTAGTAGTTACATTTTTTTCTATAAAAAGATGGTGTTAAATATCAAAGTCATCAAAGCTTGTGCTTTGGCCATCTAGGAGTAGGTGTGTAGCCACGAGCGAATGTTCAGGTGGCTGGTACAAAACAAATCGATCATGCAGTTCATAAGACGTAGGGTTTCTTACGAATTTGAACGGCCCATTAGGGTTTCAAATTTAAAAATTCCCTTATCGCCTACTATAACATAGTAGAGTTTGATATTATTTAGCATAAAAATGATCATTATAACTTTCAGCAAAAAAAGAAATGATGACGATTAGTCGTAGTCCCTGCTTGGTCCGTGCTATAACCGTGTGTGCGCCTTCTTCAGGCCAAGACTATTTCAATGTTATTAGTAATGTTTTATACATATTATCATGATTTCAATTTCCATGAAATAATGTTTGTATCAACTTCCCTACCCAAAATTGTTTTCTTTTGTTATGAGCTTTTGTGCTCGAGAACTTAAGTCATTCAACTTTCCTTAAAATTGTTAAATGTAGCTTTTTGTTGTGGATCGCACGGGCAGAGTTCCAGTTTGAGTAATGCCAAATGTGAAAATGTTAAAACTATAGTTATTATCTAAAAAATAATATTTTATTTGAAATGTAAAGAGTATAAATAATTATTTAAAATAAAAAAATCAATCTAAACGAATAAATTTGATCCTTTCGAAAGAAATTGGATGACTTTATATTGCAAAAAAACATTAATAGCATCAAGAAAAATCACGAGCCTCAAACGATTTTATAGGAGAAGAGTAATGAAGAAACAACAAATCTAAAAAACCACAAAATTAGAAGACGAAAAATGCATGTACCTGCTCTTATATTCGTAAACATAACTTTGTTCTAGTACCAAAACTAAACATAGTAGACCAGATATGAACAATTGTAAAATATACGTAAAAAATAACCAAACATTTATGAGATTACAGTAATCTCATTTAAATGAAATTAGAATAAACGAGCTTTGAACATATGAGATTACACTTTTTTATCATTAACGTTCAATATTCTTTGTTCACAAAAAATCATTAATGTTCTTTTCGTAACGTTCTTTGGTTGTCTCACTGTTTCAATATATGTGACGTGGAGGGAGTACCGTATACTACTTGTACGTATTTGTTATTCAAAAATGATGTTTGTACCCACTCTTATACCTATTTTTATACTGAAAATCAAGCACAAGCATCTTAATTCGGCTATAGGACGTAAGCTTCCTTATGAATTCGACTCGTCCCTATTAGGTATCATATTTAAAAATTCCTTTATCGGCGGATAAAATTTTAACCTATGGATCATTCGCCAACAATATCACAAGAGAATTCATTATCATTTAACGTAAAATCGATTATTTTAACTTTTAACAACAAAAAATGATGACAATTAGCTAAGGTTAGTGCGTGGTTCGTGCCGCAACCGTGTGTGCGCCTATTTCAGCCCAAAACCATTACAACGACACATATTAAGAATTCGTTTAATTAAATGCACGAAAAAACTTATGAAATGAACAAGTTTTGGAAGATGAAAACAATATCTATTACATAGATTAGAAAACAAACATCTAAGAATCCTTCTCACAACATCTATTTATAAACAACCAATAACAAACACCAATAATAATTGTACTATATTTCAATCAGTAGACAGGTATTCCGAGAAGATGAAGAAGAAAAGAGTTTGTCTTTAGATGAATATGTAGCAATCGAGCAAGAAGAAGTTCTTAATGTCAAAGGTGAACAGTTTCAAACCGCGGTGTCGACTTTAGTTCTGGATTGGAGCAAGAGAAGAAGATGCATTTGAGATGCTCTGTATAAAAGAAGGATAGAAGGGTCATTTCATTCATATAACAGTAAGATAATAACTTTCAACTGAAAAAGTAGGGTTGGACTTATTTTTGGGCTGGAAAAAAATCAACCGGAACAACCCATTTAATTGGTGTTTATCAATTTTTTCCATACTTATTAGCGAGTTTTGGTCCTCCAAACGGCCTCTAAAATTGATATTGTCTTGAGTAACTGTCTTTTTTGATCTGACTTGTTTCATACTTGCACTATTTTGACGGAGAGATATTTAGGAAAATATTTACTATACCTAGTTGTTGCATTTTTTCTATAAAAAGATGGTATTAAATATTAAAGTCATCAAAGCCTGTGCTTTGGCCATCTAGGAGTAGGTGTGTAGCCATGAGCTAATGTTCAGGTGGCTACTACAAAAAAAATCGACCATGCAGTTTATAAGATGTAGGGTTTCTTACGAATTTGAACGACCCATTAGGGTATCAAATTTAAAAATTCCCTTATCACCTACTATAACATAATAAAGTTCAATATTATTTAGCATAAAAGTGATCATTATATGTTGGTCCCTATTAGAGAGATGATAATCTAACAGCAATATATCAAAGGGTGAATCACAGAATAATATGACAATATGAAGATCGTTGAAACCCTCTCTGGTATACCATGTAAACCTTTTACAGAATGATGTTGGCGCTGAAGCTCTAAAGGTCGAATATCAACGTTAACGCAAACCTAAACCTTACGCACATATATATAGGCGAAGGTAGGTTTGCGTACAGGCTTTATGCCAGGAATATGGGCCTGACAACTTTGGCCCCATATCCTTTATACCCTAATAAATGCAAAGCATAAACACATAAAGGTATAATAAAGGCTAAGCTATTACAAAACAAATGACAAACTTGATTCACAATAGAATAGTCTTCAACAATCTCCCCATTTGTGATCAAGTGTCGTCCTGCTTTTATCTCTCAGCTTTATAGTAGCTTCTTCGAATCTTCAGCGCGTGCTCATACAGTCTTAGTGACCTTCTTTTGTCGAGTTGTTCACTTATGTCTTTGAGGATGGTTAGCACTTTGTCATGCTCTTTTAGCTCTTCATCTGTAGCATCAACAAGTCTGCTTTCAAGATCTTCTTTGATAGGTCGCAGCTACTCCTGAATAATCAACAATGTTCCGTCACAGTACTTCTAGATCTCACTCACCACCATCAAGTGTTTCTCTTGCTTATGATTCAAATAAATCACTGCAGGCGGAGTCTCAAAACTATGATTTGCTCTGAAGTCTTCGAGCTCCCG